ACGCGAAGGCGTGTGCCTCCAAGAGGACGAGGGGGAGGGTGTGGGTTCTTTTGGATGGTTGTTGTTTGCGTTGGCAAAGCAAGCAGGGTGGGTGTCGATGGCGTGTGGAGATTATAGATCACTGAGACGAGTTTATCAAAGTTGTCATGCACAGTCGACGACTCTGCCACTCTGTTGCTAGGTTGACACCACATCGGCGAAAGATCTTGCTACAACTTGCCACAAATGACGTCATCGACTATGATGATGTGTTTGTCAACTTTGAGATGTAAGGTTTTGTTCCACAAGGCGGGCGTATTGTAGCACAAGGACGATCGTTCGTTTAAGCAACAGGGGATGAGTGGCAAAAAGGTGCTAAAGGTGTTGCCTGAATTTCTAAAGGTGAATCGACAGGTACAGAGATGTAGGAATGCAGGGAGCGATCGAAATGGTGCCTGTTTTGATTGGTCCAATACGCTGCGCGCTGATTGGTCCGTTCCGGCGCCTGACTCTCACCTCGGTTTTCCAAACTGGCCCAGCCCTTGTGCTTCTTTTTCATAGGAAAAGTGATGACCAGAGAGTGTCTATCTTATTTAAGACACTGTCACCCTGTTTCCTGATTGAACGACAACCCAAGCTTCTGATGGGTAACCATTTTTTATCCTGTTTTTTATCCCTGGGGTGAGCATGCTGGTTTCTCCATCCTAAAAACACAACACATTTCATTTTTCAACTTTTAGAGTGGGTCGAAAGGGCTCCTGTTTTGATGGCTCAAAAACGCGACACGGCGATGGATCCGTTTCGATGCCTGGACTGAGCCGCAGTTTTTCAAATGTGCCCGATTGTGTTTGGTTTTATGTATTTTCCATGGGAAAGATAGCACAACTCGGCTCGGGTGCTGTCGTCTGATTGGTCGGTGCTGTCTTCTGATTGGTCAGATTTTCGACCAATCAGAGACCTTCTATAAATAGATCGTCTTGTTTGTGTATATATAAAGGAAGGGCTGACGTTCATCAGACACTCATCGCCACCATGACGGACACGCAGAGTACACCCTATCATTTGGAGAGGAAAGACTCCACCCGCTCCAGACGATTAAGAACTGCTAACCATACCTATCGTTTGACTTTCAACCCAGACTACTTGGACACCGTACCACCGGACCGCGTTCCCATGGAACTGCCGGCATTATTTGACAGAGTGATCGATGACTTTTATCAACATATGTCAGGCCAGAAGGGAGATCGTATTGGTCTAGGTATCGATCATACGGCTTTGAACACTCCCATACGGATTCCCTTTCGTCGCTGTGAAGATCTCCATGGGCTAGATATTTTGCATGCCGTGGAAAAAGTCCAACAGTCCAACAAAGCCCTGAACATCGATGCCACCATGGTTGTGACTTTAGTACACGTCACAGATCCCGACAGGCTAGGATCGGGCAGTGGTTCTCCCCGACTGAAAAAGGTGATTGGACTCGAAACCTTTTTAACACTCAAAAAGGGTATTGTACGGATCAAACACGAAGATCAATCCTGTTTGGCACGGGCCCTGGTGGTGGCACAGCATTATGCCCAGAAGCCCCACCCTCTGACCCAAGAATGGACCAACCAGCGAGTGAGACTGATGAGAACGGACCGCGTCGACGTTCAAGGCATACGGGCACGGGACTTGTTTCGGCGTCTTGGCCTGCCTGAAGGTCCCTGTCAGGGCCTGGACGATCTCGCACGCGTGGGACGCGCCTTGGTCCCCCTGAATTATCAACTGAAAGTCTACAGTCAAGATGTGGACCAGAGACTGTTGTACAAGTGTGATGAGGCTCCACCCTACGCCACCGTGCTGCATTTATACCATCATGATCAGCACTACGATGTCATCACTTCCATGTCCGCTTTTTATGGCTCTAACCATTACTGCGATCGCTGCGACCACCGTTACGACCATCCCGAAAAACATCCCTGCACCAAGGAATACCGCTGTCACCGCTGCCTCCACTCTAGCTATTGCAAGCCCCAGGAAGAGCACGGGATCCCTTGCTTGACATGTCAACGTTGGTTCCCCAATCAACACTATTATGCTCAACTTCTCCAGTCACCGTCAGAGGGAAAACCCAGCGCCTGTCAATCGATTCACAGGTGTCCGACCTGTTTTCAGCTGGTCCACGTCTTGGAGACCCCCATGGTTCATCACGAGTGCTCAGATGAAGAACATCCCTGCTTGGTGTGCCGAGAACCCATGACCCCAGACCATCGCTGTTACATGATGCCCCTCCATAAAGAAAACGAGGAGGAGGAAGTGGAAGAGGGGGAGGAAGCAGAGGTGGGGGAAGAAGAGGGAGAAGAGGAACAACATCACGTACGAGACGACGTCCAATACGTGTTCTACGATTTTGAATGTATCCAAGACACGGGGGAACACATTCCAAATTTGTGCGTGGTGCAACTAGGATGTGGACGGTGCATCAGTGAAGTGAGCAAGGACTTGTGCCAACACTGTCCATGGAGAGAGGAAGGGTATGGTCCCAGCCGTGAGATCGTGTTCCAAGGCCCCACCACGCGACATGATGTGTGTGTGTGGTTGACCACGCTAGCTGAAAAACCCAAGAAGAACAAGAACCAAGAGGAAGAGGAGGGCAGCACACACAAGGGATCAACAGCACCCCTGGGGAAAAAAATAAAACGGGATGAAACCCCCTCAAGAAAGCACGCTTCCAAACGTCAACGACATGCATCATCCCAGCAGGAGGCAGAGGAGATGGAGGGGGAAGAGGTCATGGAAGTGGAGAAAACAAAAAAGACAAACAAGACAAACAAGACAAAGAACAACAAGAACACCACCAGCACCACGACAGTGCAGAAGGAGGATCGCATTTATGTGATGGCCCACAATGCACGATCCTATGATTTACACTTGATCCTGAAGAGCCTGTCCCCTCTCCTGGTGACACTCCCCACCAAGATTTGACATGGTCAACACATTTTGCAGATGACCCTGGGTCGGTTGTGTTTCGAGGACAGCTTAAATTTCATTCCTTACCCCCTGAAAGCCTTTCCCAAGAGCTTTGGGCTGAAAGAAATGAAGAAAGGGCACTTTCCGCACTTTTTCAATACGGGAGCCAACCAGACCTACAGAGGTCCCTATCCACCAGCCATCATGTACGATCCCGATGGCATGTCTCCCGCGGAACGCACAGTCTTCCTCCAGTGGCATACTCAAAAAGTGCAAGAAGGAGCTTTGTTTGACTTACAAGGAGAACTTTTAGCTTACTGCCAGAGCGATGTGGACATTTTGAGACGGGGATGCGCTGACTTCCGACAGAACGCCATCAACTCGGTTGGCATGGATCCATTTGTAGAAGTGATCACAGCTGTTGCGTTCACCATGAAATCCTTTTGAAAACACGACCTGAAACCCAATACCATAGCCATTCTTCCACCTCAAGGCTACCAACCCAAGAGAAACTATTCCCAGGCCTGTATGCACTGGCTCCAATATCTGATGGAAAAGGACCCCCATCTGCACCTCCAGCACGCCAGGAATGGGGGTGAACAAGAGTTCACGTGTGGAGAGGGCCAACATCGGTACAGTGTGGATGGCTACGATCCAGCGACAGGCACCGTCTACGAATTCCTGGGCTGTTTCTGGCATGGGTGCCAGAACTGTCACAAGACCCAACGTGGAGAACCGCATCCCGTCCTGGGGACGTCATTGGGAGCCCGTTATAGCGACACCCACTACCGCCTGAGTCTCTTGAGTCAACACCCTGAGGTGAAACGTATCGTCACCCTGTGGGAGCACGAGTTTACAAAAATGCAACGGGAGGACTCTGCTCTGCGTGCTTTCTTGCAGGGACCCCGCTGTATCCACGTCCCTGGGCCGCTCAACCCTCGCGACGCCTTCTATGGAGGACGCACCAATGCGACGCGATTATGCTACAAAGCCCAAGAAGGTGAAACCATCAAATATATCGATATCTGTTCCCTTTACCCCTTCATTTGTAAGACCGGAGCATTTCCCACGGGACACCCGACCCTTCTTCATCAACCCCCTGTGGACACGTTGTTTGAACTGAAAGGCCTGATCCAATCCCGTGTCCTACCTCCGAAACGCCTCTACCATTCGCTACTGCCTTACAGATCGGGTGGCAAACTGCTCTGTCCTTTGTGCCGTACGTGTGCCGATACCCGGTCAGACTCCCCCTGCCAGCACACGGACGAAGTTAGGTCATGGGTGGGGACGTACGCCACCATAGAACTTCAGGAAGCTGTGAAGAAGTATGACTACCAGGTGCTTCAGATCTACGACGTTTGGCATTTTGACACTTTTGCACAGCATGACCCCGACACCCAGCAAGTGGGACTCTTTGACACTTACATCGATTGGCATTTCAAGGAGAAGCTCGAAGCCAGCGGATACCCCGAGGGATGTACGGATCACGACGCTTACATCCAGGAAATCTACGACAAAGAAGGCATTGTGTTAGACAAGGATCGCATCGAAAAAAATCCAGGACTTCCCTCGATTGCCAAGATGCAACTGAAATCGCTCTGGGGCAAGTTTGGCCAACGATTAGACTACAGTCAGAACATCTAAATGAGCGATCCTGTACAGTACTTTACCTTGTGGAGGGATGAACGCAATACCATCGAGGATGTGACCGTTGTCAACGAGCACATGGTGGAAGTGACTTATACCCAGAAGAAAGAATACCAAACCCCTCATTCTCATTTCAACGTCGCCATCAATGCTTGGGTCGACCAATCAGAGGCCGCGCTCGGGCCATGGTGGACTCTGATGGGCCAAAACGAGGTTGTGCTTTCTCTTTCACGCTACAAGCCTGACCCTTTGGAAAAGAAACAGTAAGGACGTACCACACTGGTGGGTGGCGTGTGGGACAGAAACCAGCCAATCAGAAGGTCGGATTTTCCACCAATCAGAAAGCAGAGTGTCAGTGTCTTTAAATACGACCAACGTTCCCTGGCCATCACTTTTCACAGAACGGTCCAAGCAACAACATCATCATGTTCCGACTACAACTACCGTATGACAACAATGGCCACTACCGCATCATCATCAAACAGAAGAAGAAGGAGAAGGGGGACAAGGACGAGGACGTTCTCAATAGCGAGCATGACTGCATGCATGAGAAGTTAAAGAGTGTTGTGGACACATTTCTGCCTCCGGAGTATGGCATCTGCATCCCCAGCATGGAACTCTACGTGGAAAAGTCAACCCCAACACCTGAAGCAGCAGCACTCACAGCATCCATACCCAAAGCAGCCCAAAAGGCAGCAGCACCACATGTCGCAGCACTTACCACAGTGGTAGCAGAGGGAACGTTAAAATAAACAGACGTACTCACCTCAGCACTCATTGCAGCGTCAGCAGCGGCAGAAGCAGCACCCATACTAACAACAACACCCTCAGAAGCAGTGAAAGCAGCACAACAACTCGACTCAGCACTATGGACAGCGATACTAGCATCAGCCGCAGCAACACCTGCAGCCATAGAAGCGGCAGCAGTAGCATTCGTTGAAATAGTAACCTCACATGCACCCTTGCTGCAGCAGTATTCATCGCAGACAACACCATCAACAACACCCGTAGCAGCAGCAGAAGCAGCCACCACACAGGAAGAAGAAGATGCAGCTGCAGACGCAGCAACAACACCCTCACTAAAAGTATACATCAATGCACTACAGATGGCGCAATGCGCGGCAGGTGTGAGGGCATCGAAGGGGACACCCCGAGAAGCATCAGCAACAAAAACATTCGCCTCAGCACTATCCTGGGCGGCAGCAACAGCCACAACCGCCACACCCTCAGCAGTAGAAGCAGCAACAGCTGCACTCGTCGCCGTAGTAACAGGAGTAACTTCAGTGCAGTCATCTTCACCACCACCTTCACCATCACCGATGGACACCTCAGATGCTGCAGCATCCACGCCAAAACCAGTTGCAGTCACCACAGCACCCTCATCAACAGCACCCACACCAAAACCAGTGGCAGCAGCAATGGTAGCAGCAGTGGCACCAGCAGTGGCAGACACCACCCCCACAGCCATAGAAGCACCAGTGGCAACACCCTCACCAACAGAACTCTTCGATGCGCTCCACGCAACAGCAGAAGCAGCCGCGGCAGCAACGACGCCCTCACCAGCAGCAGCAGCACCAGAAATCATCTCAGCACTATACAGAGCGGCAGTAGCAGCTGCAGCAGCAACACCTTCACCAACAGCAGCAGCCACAGAAGCACTCGTTGCAACATTGAGCAGGCTACCTGTGTGATGACGATGACGAAGGTTGTCATCCACTTTTTCGCATTATTCGCATTATTTGACCTTGTTTGTCTGTATCTAAGTTGTTGTTCATTATTAAACAGGGATAACTTAAACTGGCTCTTTGTGTCTTGATTGATCTCAACTCCAATAGAGTGCCGAACCGAGGGTAAAGGTTGAGTTGAGATGTCGTCTATGTTGTCTGTCATGTCAGTGCACACGCACAAGTGATGAATTAAAATAGATAAAAGAAAAAGGCCATGTTTGAAAGATCAGCTGCCTGGTAAGACATGATGGAGTCCACATGGTGTTCAGACTAATCGACACCCACCCTGCTTGCTTTGCCAACACAAACAACAACCATCCAAAAGAACCCACACCCTCCCCCTCGTCCTCTGGGAGGCACACGCCTACGCGTGACACCACCATGGCCCTCAAAATAATAAAATAAATATATAGAAATAGAGACGCGTGAGACACCACGTGTGCCTGGAGACACGAGTCAAACACAACGTATGTCTATCGGTCTCTCTCTCTCCTTATAAAATACAAAATAGGATCAATAATCCTGTGGATCAACGTGTGTTTGACGTACATGACGTGTGCATGAAGACACGAATGACAGTACGCCTGTCGACCTACACGAGTACCGACTCCTCGGCATCATTCATAATAATGTTCATCCTATGGATCAACGTCAACGTCTGTTTGAACACACACACACACACACACACACACACAGAGGACACCACGTTTTGCCTGGCAACACGCGTGAAACACTACGGGTGCCTTGCAACACGAATGACAGTACACCTGTCAACCTACACGAGTGCCAGCACCTCGGTATCATGAATAAGTATATGATAATAATCATCCTATGGATCAACGTCAACGCCTGTTTGTCGTCACGCGTGGCACCACGTTTGCATGGGGGTGACATGAAGTATTTCACATAGGCATATACCTACATCACGTTCATGTCTGTGCCTGTCGATTTACCGTTAGAATTCAGCCAACACCTTGAGCCAGTCACCGACTTTTAACTTAGACGAACGACTGTCATCGTGGGCTACAATACACGATCGCCTTGTGGAACGAAACCTTACACCTCAAAGTTGACAAACACATCACCATACACGTTGACATGATTTGTGACATGTTGTTGCAAGATCCTTCGCCGATATGACGTCAACCTAGCAACAAAGTGGCAGAGTCGTCGACTGTGTTTGATAACTTTGATAAGCCTGTCTCAGTGAACTATCATCTCCACATGCCATCGCCACACACCCACCAAAACAAAACAAAACAAAGAACCCGACTCCCCTCCCGCCTTCCTCTCTCCCTGAATCCCTCCTCCCTCCCGTTCCTCTTCCCTCCTCCTCCTTCCTCCTCCTGCCTCCTCCCTCCTTCCACCTCCTCCTCCTCTCTTCCCCTCCGCTGCCGCCGCCGACGTCGCCGCCGACACGTCTATTTTTAGAACAACACAAAACAAAGATTTTTGACGCGCTTCTTTCAACCTTTGATCCGTTCACCTTTTACGTACGCTTCTCCGGGTTTTCCCCTCCTCCCCGGAAACAGAGGCGACACCCTCTTGAAGGGGCGCGCGCCTCCGGAAGCGGATGGGACGCCATTTTGGAGGCGTACGCCACCGGAAACGGATGTACCACCATCTTGGAGGCGCAAGCAGGACCCATCATGCCCTGCGCGCATGCGCAGTCACGTGACCAAACCGAAACCGGAAGTGACGTCACAGATCCTCTCGACCAATCAGAAGCCAGGAGCGGTTCCAGACCGCTGTACACAACTACTACTGTCGATTGTTTGATACACCTGGAATGTTCCTGATTGTTGTTTCAACAAAGGAATACAACTACGCAATGTCCTCAGTTTGATACACCTGGAATGTTCCTGATTGTTGTTTCAACAAAGGAATACACCTACACAATGTCGACTGTTTGATACACCTGGGATGTTCCTGATTGTTGTTTTAACAAAGGAATACACCTACACAATGTCGACTGTTTGATACACCTGGAATATTCCTGATTGTTGTTTCAACAAAGGAATACAACTACGCAATGTTGATTGTTTGATACACCTGGAATGTTCCTGGTTGTTGTTTCAACAAAGGAATACACCTACACAATGTCGACTGTTTGATACACCTGGAATGTTCCTGATTGTTGTTTCAACAAAGGAATACACCTACACCTGGTTTGCCTTGACTAGACACATCTGTGGTTGTTTACGGACTACCGTGTTTAAGGATGTGGAAGTTTTGTCATAATTGTAACAATGTGAGACTAATTGTTGCCAGTGTGTATAACATGTATCGGTTATAATCGGCCTTAATAACTTTTTGTGCATCCGCCCGTGCCCCCAATTAGTCATTGAAGGATATCATATCATGAATATGCATACAAACATTATCCACTTTGTAGTTGTAAAAGACGTCTATCCATGTTAAATTATTATGTGAAATATAGCGTCGGGGCTATAGCGCCATGTTTCGTTAACACGACCCCAAAGCTTGTTACAGTAGAGGCATGATAATGCAGGTATAGCGGGAGTAAACCAAAAAAACCCCTAGAAACGTGTCCTCTTAAGCCCAGGCAACTGCACGACACACCTCTCTCGGGAATACTGATTATGTAATCATATAATATAGTAGCTTGTTGAATGATGTCATCGGGAACCACAGTTACACAGGCTGCGCAAGAGTTTTCTCTGGAATATTTGGTTGTGTATTGTCCCGAAATAACCGTCATATTTAGATACTAGACAGTTGCAAGAACTATATTTGTATACAATGTCAAATAAACAGGTGGAGTTAATGGCGGGTTTAAGGTTGCGTTCAAGATTATTGCACTCACATTTATATGGCTGGGTGCGTATGTGTATGGCCTGTTCGTTGTAGTGTGTATGTTGTGTTTGGCCCTGTGTGCACACACGCATACACATGCAAACACACACACGCATATGCACACAGACGCATACACACTCACACATATATACGTACACACTCACACACATACATACATACATATACGTGCATACTCACATATACACGTATACATACACAATCACACACACATGCATACACTGTCTCTGTCTCTCTCTCTCTCTGACACACTCACACATACAATGTACGTACACATACGCAAAGACACACAGACACACAGACACACAGAAACACACACAAACATGAGTATACACACAGACACATACGTACACACTAACACACACAGACACACACATCCAGACAAATAAACACTAAAACACACACTCACGCATACAATCTACACAATCAAACACACACCGCGCCCACACGCACACACACACACACACACACAAGCATATGTACATCCCCGTCCCAACATAAGTGCAGTATTCTGTTATTACAATACACCCTATCATCTCACCGTCACCTAACCAAGTGGAGAATATCATTTTCATATGAAACTTGTTAACAATATAACATTACCCATGTACGTTTACCCGTTTCATCATACTAACAACCCTTTTTCGTCATACCAGACAGCCCGTTTCATCATACTAAAAAAACCGTTTTGTCATACTAAAAGAGCCTGTTTCATCATACAATATCACATTACCTATGTACGTTAACCCATCATATCATACTAAACACCCCGTTTCATCGTACTAAAAACCCCGTTTCATCATACTAAAAATTCAACAAAGGAATACACCTACACAATGTCGACTGTTTGATACACATGGAATATTCCTGATCGTTATTTTAACAAAAGCGTGCAACTATACATCGTCCGCTGTTTAATACACCTGGAATACTGCATTGTTGACTATCGAACACAATGAGTTGACAAAATGCATTGACTGGACATTTGTCTACACTTGTCTCAACCTCAGCTTGGATATTATTTTCTGTGTTTTATATCACAGGAAGGTGTGCGCTACCAACTCAACGATGTGATCAACAAGGGCAAATTGAAAGGATGTCGGTGGTAACGTTTTTCTGACACCACGGCTGACAACATAGGAAGCTGAACTGCACCACACCCGCTACGTTAAGGTGACCATCATACAGCTGATATGCATTCAACGTGACGTTCGACCCTGTCATAATCTACCCATACATTATTTATTGCAATATGTTTCCTAATATTAGCTTAGCCCTCCTCGGAGTTTTATGACACTTTAAATGATTAATGATAGCAAGGCTCCTAACGAATACAAATACACACTGTCAACTGTTTAATTTACCTGGATAACTGCTAACCGCTTTGTGGACAAACGAACACAGCTTCACTATGTCTCCTGTTTGAGAACAAATGCTTGATCAAACGAAAAATATCTGCTTCACCTCATCCTCGATGATCCAGGGTAGTAAACCTCCTTTCTTTTATCATTAAGAAAATGTATCCTTTCGCCGCCACAGCTTGTAGTGTTCCTATATCTAGACATTCCCTCTGCTGTGTTCCTAAAAACACAAGCTGACACGCTATACAACACACTTTACAGGATTCGTCGGTGAGTAAGTGAGTATGGTTTTACGCCGCTTTTAGCAATATTCAAGCAATATCACGGCGGGAGACACCAGACATGGGCTTCACATATTGATTCTTCAGTATGTTGAGTGAGTGAGTGAGTATGGTGTGACGCCGCTTTTAGCAATACTCCAGTAATATTTGAGCGGGAGACACCAGAAATGGGATTCACACATTGTACGCATGTCGGGAATCGAACCCGGGTCTTCGGCGTGACGAGCGAACGCTTTAACCTCTAGGCTACCCGACCGCCCCTTTGTTGTTTTGACATGGTATTTCTATCGAAAAGTGGTATACCTGGTGGTGTATGTGTAAGCGGAACTGAGTGGATCTTGATGTAATTTGAAAAAAAATGATTGTTTATGTTGGTCCAAAATGCATTGACGGGGCGTTTGTCATCAAATGCCATCGCTGCTCAGACCAGCTCAGATTTGTTTTTCTGTTTCGTTTCATCGTGTAGGAGTAGCTCTCAGGACACAAC